TTATACTCGAGTCAATAACTTTTCCAGTTTTTTGTGGTAAAATTAGGTGCCTCGGCTTATATTTGGGTCGGCCTATACTCGAGTATATACGGTAGTTAATCCTGCTAAGGATATCAGTCCCAGCCTCTTTTTTTCCACCTACCGTAGGTACCTTTTCTTTTCTAAAGGTGCAATGATCTACCTGGCATTTATCTTTCATAGTAATCATCATCAGGCTTCACAACCAATTGGTCAGATAGAAATGTTTCTTGTCCCATCTTGCTGACAGAAGATGTAGGGAGGCCGTTTGTGTGTTATAAAAGTCTTGAAAACAGGTTGAAAAAAGCCTCAAAATGAGCTGAAAAAAGCCTCAAAAACAGGCCAAAAAAGCCCCCCAAATGGGCCAAAAAGCATCAAAAAAGGGCTGAAAAAAGCCTTAAAAATGAGTAGAAAAAAGACTGGAAAAGGGCAGAAAAAAGGCCTCAAAAAAGGCCCAAAAATGAGTCATACGGAGGCCAAAAACCTTTTTTTATTGTTGTTTCCCTCTTCTAAATTTAAGGTGTATCTGATAGTCAGGTGCATCTTATAATCCAAAAGATACAGTCATTCACAAGTCCCCATTGAGAACTCAAGATACCTGAGCATACTGGCATGCATTAACTGTCTCTTTTGCAGGCGAGCTCAGTGCCCAAATGTGCTGAAGACCAATCCAATCAATCAGTGCCCGGATGCTGCAAAAGGTGAGTTGAGGAGCCCCCCCCCCCCTTGGAAGCAGCAGGAAGTTACAATCAGAAGGTACAAAGAGCGCTGGATAAAAATTGGAAGCAGATTCCTGCTACAGCTCCTCTTCACACTTTTTATTAACGTTTGTTTTTATAAGCTTCAAAAGACTGGGCCCGGTGAGGCTGCCTTTGGTTGTCAGCCCATCTTTGAAAACACCAGGATGTGGCTCAATTAGCCAGCAGCTGGAACACCAAGCTTGGATGACTGTGAGTGCAGTTCTGAGGGAATGGAGGAAAGTTTGAGTGAACGTGGAAGTTTATTTGCATGACTGCAGCTGCTTTTAAAAGGAGAGAGCAACCACAACCTCATTCCCTCCTATCTTCCTTTTATATCACCTGCAATCATTTCGTGCCAGTAAGTTTCTGTTGGACGTGAGTGGAGGGAGGAGTCCACCAGCCAATAGTAAGAAAACACCTGTAATGCTTATTTACAGTTCAATCTGCAGAGTTGAGAAAATAATATAATGGATAACAACAGCCTTGAATACTCTCTCGCTCTCCTTAACCACTTTACAGCTATTGAGCCTAGTACCATCTACGTAACAATCCAGACTTCATCTGAGGACAGGCTGAATCCTAGGATGCTGAATTGGTCAGCAGGATGCAAGGTGTATCCATAAGGACAGGGACCCCTGCCAGGACAGGTTCACAAAAATCAAGATGGTGCATGCACTAAAAGGGAAGGTTTAATGGCACAGTCACCGCCACCATCTTTTGCCTTGCAAAAATGTCTAAAAATCTGCCCTGGTCTTTTCCAGTCATTGGGAAAAGGCATTTGGTTTAGAAATTTGCTCTTTCAGGATTAATTCAAGCTCAAAGTTAAATATCACCTGAAAGGGTTTAAACACTGACTGGATTCACGCATCATATTAAACCAAACAATTTACTGTTTAAGAGTACAGTTAAATGCGTAAACTACACATTTTGGGTTAGCATTATATGCAAAATAGAGCATCTGGCTGGTTAAAAATACATGGTTCAAAAAGACTCAACGAAGCACTTATTATAAACTTGCCACTCTTACCTTCCTTGCATTGTTTTTGTAAGACAGGCATTCTGTCCCTTATATATTAAATTCAGAATAGACTTAGTAAAGAATAGTTTGTAAATATAGTAAAACTATATAAATACTATATATACTCGCAGTTAAGCCAAGAATTTTACCACCCCAAAATAGGTTTGACTTGTCTGCTGAAAAGCTTATCTGCAAGGAGGTACATGCATACTTTGTAAAGTATCTGCTTATAATTGGAGATAAGGTGAATCAGTGGTTAAGACGCTGAGCTTGTCGATCAGAAAGGTCGGCAGTTTGGCGGTTCGAATCCCTAACACAGCGTAACAGAGTGAGCTCCCGTTACTTGTTCCAGCTTCTGCCAGCCTAGCAGTTATAAAGCATGTAAAAATGTAAAAATGCAAGTAGAAAAATAGGAACCATCTTTGGTGGGAAGGTAACAGCACTCCATGCGCCTTTGGCATTTAGTCATGCCAGCCACATGATCATGGAGACATTTTCGGACAGCGCTGGCTCTTCGGCTTTGAAACGGAGATGAGCACCGCCCCCTAGAGTTGGGAACGACTAGCACATATATGCGAAGGGAACCTTTACCTTTACCTGTAAGCTGGAAAAAAAAAACCATATACTGGTAAATCCTGCCACCCGGGGATAAACAAATTGTGAATATGTTAAATGAAATATGTTTTGGAAAACATTTCTTGTTACAAAATATGAAAATAAATGAAATCCTTCAGAAAAGAATTTCAGAATTCAGAAAAAAAACATGCATTTTTTAAGGATCAGCTGATCTTTGGATGGGCTTATCCATGAAGATCATAGCGTCATAGGGATGGAAGGGACCTTAGAGGTCTTCTAGCCCAATCACCTGCTCATTACAATTTTAGATGCAATTGGGAGGGGTGTGCTCTCTATGGGGATGGCAAGATAACTCTACCAACAGAGACAAGTGCAAAGCAAATGTTGTGTCCTGGGTGAGTTAAAATGTTTGCTTGCTTATTAAAAACTTCTAGTCGAATATTTTTGTTCCTGCCGTTTCCCTGCAGGCACCCCCATGGCAGAAGAAAAGGTGATATTTGGTGTGCAAAACAACTCGACATTCCTTGAGTGCCATCCACTTTCTCCCCAAACCAAGATTCGTTGGCTAGTACAGCGCAGCAACACAATATCTCTGGAGGAGGTACTGGGGAAAAGCAAACTTAATGGAGAAGTTGGGTGGTCTCTTTGGAGCCTGGGATGCAAAGGGGACCCAGGGTTGCCTTGATGTGCTGCAAAAGGAAGCTGAGCTGGATGGATGCTTTAGATGCAAGCAGAAACCCCTTGATATCAGACTAATGCTGCAGGTTCTTCTGTCTTTCTCTGTGGCTGTAGCTGGCAAGCAGATTGACTATTGTCTGGTTTCCTTGCAGGTTGGGGACACAGGTCGCTTTTCAATCTTAGAGCGAGGGCTGTTGATTAATCAGCTGACCCAACAGGATGCTGGACTCTATCAGTGCCAAGGAATGGACAGCTCTTTTTCTCAAACTCTTACCTACTACAAGCTGCGCATCATAGGGCAACAGGCCATGGAGGCCGTAACTTCTAGGCTTAGCAAGAATGCAGAAACCAAAGGGAACCACCACAGTGTCACTCCGATGTCAGGCCTTCAGCTTCCTTACAAAGGCTACTCCTGGGCACCCGGTACTAATTTAGTTGAATTCTGCAATGCTCTGCAACAAAGGAAAAGACTGAGACAAAAGGTCTGGACCTCAAGGTGGCAGCAGCAGCAGCAGCCTCCTTCAGAAAGCAAGAAAGGCCGAGTACGTCGACAGCCTGGCTCCCGGAGAGAGGAAGGACCAGTTTGACACAAGAGAGCCAAACGGGCTCTCCAACTAGATTCTATTGGTCTCTTAAGCTATCCAGGCACACTTGTAGATACTTACTGGGATGTTCTGTCCTTTCCCTGCTTCCAAAATCAAGAAAGCCAATCTCTTCTTCCCTCATCTGAAATGCTAGGTGTTACTTTTATCCTCCTCTTGGGTAGCAAAGGAAACTTGTACCATAGCAAGGAAGGTGGTGGTCTCAGATCATACTGACTGATTGGTGGCTAGAATTGTGATGGCAAGTGTGAAATGAGCAAGGGGGCTTTTCACATTTGTAGCACATATGTGGCACAGTCCTCTTCATCTTCTTTTTTCTAATAAACAATAACCATTACAGCATGTGTTATCTGCTTTTCATAGAAGGTCTTCCCCTTGTATAAGGGAATTCGCCTGAATAAAAGTAATCTAAATCTAAGTTGAAAAATCCGGTAAAACAAGCCTTCTCCAAAAATAGAAAATTGAGTATGACTATGAACATATTCCAGGAGTCACTGTGGGCATTTCGACTTCTTTGTCAGAGTACCAAGCACACCTCAGGATTAACGTACCATGAGAGACTGCAGAGGAGCAATCTGGTGCAAGGAAACCTCATCAAATGCTCATTCCAGGCAGTGACCAAGGCGTCAGGTGACGACTCAGATACTCAGAGGGGAAAACCCCAAGCTCTTTCTGGAAGCCAGTAGGATCCAATAGTCCTCTCGGACAGATCGATCTAATGGAATCTACTTCCCTGTTTGGGTGTGGGCAAAAACAACCAGAGAATTATCTGACAGTGGCAAAAAGACTAATGCTACATCCTCTACTACCAGTTCACATCACAAACACCCCAGGATAAAAACTAGCACGCAACACCATGTACTGTATGTCTTCGGCTCGCAATGACTTGGGTCAAATTCATGGTTGCCATGAATATGGATTGTCCCAGATTCCATAAATCTGGGTAGGTTGAAGTCCTCCACTGCCAACCCAGCAACAGGATCTCAGCAGCGCAGGCAGAATATGGGGCATGAAATGTCAGCTTCTGATGTTGTTGCCGATTAGGAATTGAACTGAATGAAATAGGTATTGGATGACCAGATATTTAGCTCAGTGCAGAGTTCTGGATTGGATACTGATAAGCCTGTGGTCCCATTTTATCCAATGCGTCACATAAAAGGACAGTGATACACACCACCGCAACATGAGGCAGAGGGAGGTAATTTAAGTTTATTCTTTCCTATTCAAGAATCAATTTGGAAAAAACCCTAACAGAAAACATCTTCCAACTACCCTTTTGTAACACTGAAACCCAAGTTCTATGATGTGTACTGATTTCTGAGAATTTGTTGACAAAATAATCGAAGGGAAGAGATCCTTTCTTATCCTTCAGAAAGAGGGGGAGGGGAAGAATCTCTTTGGGCACAGACATTGTATACCTGCCTGGTTCATCTTCGCAGAAGGGAGAGCCTTGTGCCTGCAAATATTAAAATTCTATTAATTTGAAAAAAAGTTTAGTAGAAGTTTTTCATTACAAAGCCATCTAAAATCCTTTACTAGCACTTTACTTCACATAAATATCAATGTAACTACTTACAGATGACACATGATAGACCATGAATGGTAGAAGCTTTGGGTTTCCAAATTCCACTTCAAATCTGGTTTAGTCAGTTTGTTCCATTTCCAATCAGTGCAACTCAAAATTAGGCTCTGAACCAAATCTTTATAATTGATGGAAATTGTTATATAAAAAGAATAATGGAACTTCAGTCTCTTAATAGTGTAGGGTTGGTTGGTTATAAGGTCTGATTATAATACACATCTGTGTCTTAAATGTTGCATTGTCTAGAAATTGAGGCTTTAATTAGTTTTAATAAAGCTCATTAATTAGTTGATTAGCTAGTTAATTGTGCCTGAATATCATTGAAACTAATGCAAGACGTTGTTTGTAAAACATACAAATTCATGTTGTCAGGCTATTTTTCCTTTCGGTGAAAGAAACCATCAGGAGGGAAAATTCAAACTAATTCCAGACCAAAAATTACCAAATTCTTCATAACATTTGAAGTTTATTTTTTAAAAAAGGAGAGACAGTTGATAGGCATTATATCAACTTACAATTTATTTTTATTTTTTTAAAAAAATGACATGAAACACAAGTAAAAATAAATACATCATATAAACAACAAAATTGTTCAATGTCTCTGTTCTGGGAGATTGGGTGAGCACATCCCATTGGACAGAGAGATGAGGGAAGCACATATCCCATGCGTGCAACCAGCCAACCAACTGACCCTGCTACAGAAATGTCTTTTTATTTCAACCACAAAGCACAGGCCACAAACTAAAGGCAGAACAAAAAAACAAACCAAGAAAACCATTCAATTCATTTAGCTCCCCTGTACAAATAGATTTAATGGAGGGACAGAGAACATAAAGAGGGAAACTAATAATATAGGACCCGAAAAGCAATGCAGCTGTGGGCAGCTGTTAGTGGTCTTGTTTCAATAAAGAGCACACACACACAAAAAGACTCGCCCTCCTTCTCTGCCGGCTCTCAATTTCTATTTCTGTTGATCCTCCCTAAACTTGCAAATATCTTCCCTACTGTTTTCCTGATTGAGTGACAAGGAGCAAGCATTCCCAAAACTGTCCTTATAAATCCCCAGACTTGATATAATATGGTTTTGGTATTAAATAAGACACGATTTTTTTTTAATCTACTGGTGTATATTTCCCTTGGTTTAATGGAGCTAAGATCAACCATTCTCCAGTTTAATAATTATATTTACAATGCCTAAATCAGGATTTCAGTGCAAATATATGTAATTATAGTAAATTTTCATTTGACTTGAGATCTTGCAAGAAATATTTGCACTGCTGCCATCAGTTACATAATTCAGATAGAACAATCAATAGGATCTTTATTTTAAAAGCAGAAGATTGCATATTCCTGGGATTTCTTGACAGAGATTGTAATCAGATTTTTTTTCTCATTAAACTGCCCCCTATATGTCCATAAAACCGTGTCCCACAGAATGCAATACTGTAGGAGCACTTTAATATCAAACTTGCCCTCTCCAGACAGCATTTCTCCCCATTTCCATATCTTGGTCATATGGAGATAGAGTAATAATTAGCATGCAGACATGTGGACAATTCTTAACATGGTTGGGGAGAAGTCCTCCAGTGTTATTCTCACCAAAAAATAATTCATCATAGGAAATCTATGTCTAAGATGATCTTTTGTCAGTTTTAAATTGTATACTGCCAGAATTGGAGTGAAACTGAACGTAGTAGCAAGGTCTGTAAAATATCACAGTTTAAGGTCACCTCTTTACCCTAAGCATTTATTAAGGGGATCAAGTGTTGTTGTATACCATACCAACCTGGTACAGTACTGTTGCTCTAAAGCACAGAGAAATATTGCAATGCATGGTTTATCAAGGAAGATCCAAAGATTACATGCAGATCTAAAACACCCGGGGAATGCAAGAACCTTCCTCAGTATCTCAAGACCTTAGCCAAGCACATCTAACGGTATCTCAGCTCCACCTGTAAATTCAGAATACATGTATTCCTCCTTGTTTCTTTTGTGGCCTGAAATTTAGCAGTGCAAATTGCACAGACTCTGGCAAGGAGATCTAACAAAAAGCCAGCAAGGGGGAAAAATTATCCTTGAGATAGAAGGAATAGTTGAATTCAGAGATCTCACAACACAAACACATGCGCTGCTTCTGAGCAGCCACTACATTCTTGGAAATTACAGTGCATCAAGGAAGGGACCATTCCGACATTGTACTACGTAAGTCACTGTGCTGTTCTGACTCAGCTCCCAAGTCAAGCATTCTCTGTTCTTCACAAACAAGGCACAACAGCCACCCTTTGTTTCTAGAAGCCACACCTTCCTAAGGATGTTGAATGCGTGGGAGAATTCAGATGTGAGAAAGAGGGTGTTTCTAGAAGCAAGAAGGGTGCAAAGCAGAAGAATGCGGTCTTCATTGCCAGTGGCAACACTGTTCTCTCTTGGCAAGTGCTGGGAATGCATTTTAATCTCTAGGAGACCAATTACATTTAAACCCCCTATTATTAGGAAGGAGACACTGGTCAGGCACTTGCTGAAGTAGAGGAATCTGCCCCAAATGTGTTTCTTTCCAAAGCTCACAGAAAGTGGCTGGTCTAACTGAAGGTGTGTGTGTGTGTGTGTGTGTGTGTGTGTGTGTGTGTGTGTGTGAGAGAGAGAGAGAGAGAGAGAGAGAGAATGAATGAATGAATGAATGAATGAATGAATGAATGAATGAATGAATGGACCCTGTCAGTGGAAGAATTATGTTCAAGCAATCCACTAATCCACTAACATAAACATTTTAGGGGAAAGAGAAATGACAAGAAACAAACAAAAAGAGGGAGGGAGGGAGAGAGAAAGAGAACAGAAAGATGTGCACAGTCAGACTTACATTTTTATACTTTTCTCACCCAAGTACAAAAGCCAATTTTTAAAAATATTATATTGTTAAAATCTAGTAATAATCCAAGTGATGCAACATTGCCATCCAGTGGTCTGACTAGTAAATTACAGGTGTACACCATTTCCTACAGCTAATACTTTTATCTTCCAATCCTATTTAAAAGATGACTATAGAGCTGGGTCTACTTAATCACAGCTGCACCTATTCTCCTAATCAAACATCCCATATTTTACAGTACGGATGTCCTCAAAGCCTGTCAAGTCTGGCGACTCTTCTGTGCTCAGGTATGATGTTCAAAAGAGACAAGAGAATCGGGAAGCAGCAGTCTGAAGTTAATAGTATATAAAACGTATTAGCTTGTCTTGACTGCCCCTTTACTCCATGGAAGTCAAGACAGGAGCTTAGTAGGATTACTCGAGTTGTTATCAGCTCTGCTGCCCAAAACTCACTATACTGAATATTGGGTCTGCCTGAAACCTGAAGAAGTAGAAGTAGAAGAAGAAGAAACAAATCCTCCACCAAAAATTGCTTAGCTGCTGAGGCCTAAGCCCCCTTGCCTAGATCCAGTTCCCGAGTCAACCTAGAGGATTGCAGCTTACAGTACAATCAGTGCCGTCATTATTTTGCATGAGGTGGACACATACAAATCACAAAAGGGCATGACTCACAGACGTACCAAGGCCAAGTCTTTGGAGAAACTCGAATGGACCCCATCAGTTAATTGGCTTTGTTATTTTTGTGGGGGGGTTGTGTTTTGTGTTTGTTTGTTTTTTTAATCCCATGGTGCATCCAAAGACAAGTTGTCCAGAAGTTTGCTCAGAACCCCTCGGTTTTCAACTCCTAGGATATGTTAAAGAAGAAAGCACTATTTTAATGTTTTTATTTTAAAATAATTAAAGTAATTTGCATAGCTAACTTTAAATCTAAGGCTTCTACAAATGGTGAAGTCAGGCCTGACGGACAGTGCCCAGTTAGCAGAGAAAGATAGTCAGAAAGCCCCAACTTTACATGCTTTTTAATGGTACATAAAAGTATACACATACACAGCCATACTCACGCAGCGCTTTCTCTCAGAATCACTTCTGATTCACAATATGAAAAACAAGTAGCCACGACCTCTTTAACTAAGGGGCCTGGGAGGTCTTTTACAGGGTGAGCAAAGGCTCAATTCTCACATTGCCTCCATTCAAATCATGTGGAGTTCAAACCTTCCACGGAGAGGTATGATGCACAAAAGAAGAGAGAAAGTTCTCCACGATGGGGGGGTGGGGGGTGGGGAGATAAAGCCTGACAATTGTAGCCATTTCAGTGGATCCACTGTCTTCTTTGCATCAACCACGTAACAAAGATAAGGTGAGAACAGGATGTGAACCAACTTCCTGGAAAGGTTTTCTTAGCAATGCTCTCACTGACTCTTTGTCATGGGGGCACAAGTCCCTCTTCCCTTGTCTTTGGGATGAGAACGTCTTATAAAACACCAATTTAGCCGGTGTCATTTTTTAAAGACAAATAGGGGGAATCATTCCATCATTCCATCATTCCCCCCCCCCTCCCCCGAGGTACCGCTGTCTCCCTTTCCTGCACAATAGAGAGGATTTCTATGCCAAATCTCTGCAACTTCCTTCTATTGTTAAGCCTTCTATGAAAATAAATGGCTTCTCCTTCCACACTTCTGTGGCAACGTATTATAAAAACTTGGGCCAGATACTAGCAACAATATAGAGGGGACTTTCCTCTGCAAAGCTTTAGCTTTTTTACTATTAAACCACTGGAATGGCAGGAACCTAGTTTAAAAAATCCATGTCTCTGACTGAGGAGAGAGCCACTTTAAACACCGACCTCCCTGTTGCCCACCGTGAGGGAAACAGCTAGAGAATAAACAAAGCTCTAGCCAGATAATGCCCCTGCCCCCCCCCGTCTCCCCAATGAAGCACAAGGGTGGGGGTAATTCTGCCTTGGCCCTATAAAACACCCCTGCATTTGTCAAGCAATCTACTTATCGCTTTATTCCTTTCTCAAACAGGCCAGTCTATAAACAACCCAACTGCTTTTAGCAAGGAAGAAGTGGGAAATAGTTCCCCAATAAATACTTCACTTTCATGAAATAAATTAAAACAACAGTTTTATGGAGGAGGGAGGGAGATCATCCAGTCAAGTGTCAATGAAAACTCTGGCAAAGCAAGTACAAGGGGCTCAAGCGAACTCCTTTGGCAGGAGGTCCACTTCATTCTGGTCAACAGAAATCTGACAGCTTGTTTCTTTTGCCAGACCTGCAGGCTCATCATCGCTTGCACCTCCTGCCACCACTCCACGAGGGCCTGGACGAAGGGCACTGGGCTAATTTGCCTTGAAAGTCCAGAAAGATGAAAAATTCAATTTCCACACAGACCCTGCCCACCCCTTCCCTCCCACCTACATAGGACAAGTTGCCTGCTCCTTCCTTTCCCATCTCCCTCCCTCCGTTAAGAATGCAATTCATTCTCAGGTTTCTTAGGGCACAACGTCTCCTGCTTTTGATCACGGGACAATGAACTTTCTCAGATAAGGCCGTTTGTGTATGAGTGTTATTCCATAGACACCAAAAATAAAAATAAAAATAAAAACCAGCCCGATGTCTCCAGTCTAACAAAGGGCACTGAAATATTAATGGCAAGTCTTCCTTTTGGACAACACAGACAGCATGGGAGGGAAAAGTCAAGGAGGCACTCCTGTGGTTTGCAGTGATACTTCCCTTGCCCAACTCTTGTTTCTCCCCACTCCTGGGGGAGGGGTGTCCATTCAATTCAGTTCCCATACAAAGCAGATCTTTGACAATTAAACATGCCATTCCTTTCCAGCCTCCTCCTCCACTTCTGCTGTGTTCTAGATATAAAATCCTGACCCCAGAAAGGTCCAGCAAGGAATTTTTGCCTCCCGACCAAAGATGCAATCTATCAGAAGTGACTAGGCCCATTACTTCCCTGTGATTTCTATTACATCATCATCTTTGTCCTCATCCTCGTTGGAGCTGCAGCCCACCTCAGAGACCTCACGGGTGTCAAATGGAGGCACCTGAGACCGAAGAAGGCCCCCCGCTGGATATCCCGTGTGAGGTGTCATGAAGCCAGGGTAGGCAGATGCCATGCTCCTGGGAAGGCTGCTGGATAAGACAGGGGTTGGAAAAGGAGCAAACATCCTGGGCTCAGAGAGGAGTGACTGTGAGAAGGGCAGCGAATAGTTGGAGAGCACCCCCGTCATGGAGGGGTTTAACATGAAAGAGGGGACACTGGTGGCTGAGGTAGCAGCAGAAGAACTAGCAGTGCCCGCTGTCAGCAGAGGGTCAGTAGTCACAGGGAACATCAAATGAGGATCTGACAGCAAGCTAGGCAGCTGGTAATAGGAGGAGCCTGTGCCCATGTACAATGAGTTGCCTGCTTGGGGAGCAAATGGATGGGTTAAGTTGTGGTTTAAAGGGACAGAGGGCATGGTGAACCCACCAGAGACAGGGTACCCACTTTCATATGGTTGACCTGTAGTTGGCAGGGAGCGTTTCTTCTGCTGGCGATGGGCTTGCTCATCTGGACCAGATGGTGAACTTGACTTACGCTTATTCCCTCGTAAATCCAGCACTGAGTGGCCGTCAACATGTTGACTAGTGGCTGGCAAGGCTGAGGAAGAAGCCAAACCATGGGTCCCTACTCGCTGCTCAGTTCCGCCGCGAGCTGTCGCGTGGGCTGCATTGTCTTTCCGAGTGGGGTATCCAGGTGTCGTATTGGTGGTAGGAGAATTGTGTTTGGACTCACGGGCAGCTGCCGCCTCTGCATATTGCTGCAGTTCGCTGATGATTTCAGGGCTGTCTGGCGAAATAGGCCGAGTGAGCTCCTCTGGGTTGGGAGGTTTGGGTGATGAGGCATTGTGTCTGCCATTGCTTGTGGATTCAACAGATGGACCCTGGGATCCTACGTAAAGCAGAGTATAACAAGATGTAAGGGCAGAGAAAGTAACCAGAAGTGGCACTAAAGTATCAGAGGAGGTTGTAGAAAGAAAAAAAAAACCAGCCTCATTAATGAGGCTGTAGGCTACTTTTGTTTTTCAGTGGCTCATCTCAGTAGCAGATGGGGAACCTAAATTATTATAGGCAGTAGGGTTTAAGAAAAGTTTAGAGCACGCTGAATGGTGGTTGTGCCCTAGAAGATAGGATTTAGTGCCTGTATCCCTGAAGTTTCTTCTGGACCAATCCATCTTTCAATACTAAGGTATTGCGATATCCATTTGAGCTGTATAACATGAATGAAGTAAGGCATTTTCTCAAGTGAGACTAAAACTAAAAGCTTACAAGCAGAGATTCTAGGACATAGCTCTTAATAAGCCAGATTTATTGCAAGAACCAGAAAAGTCCTTCAAGAAGAAACTCAGCAATTTCCAGAAATAGGAAGAGAGAAAGAAAGGATTCAAAATTCAGTTGTAAAGCTTTTTCTCTCAACACAAATTTAACAGGCTGGAAATTTGCATTATTTTGGCAAGATGGATGATGTATACCTGTACCTTCTTACTGTAACAGATCAATCTTGTTCCAAGCGCTCTGCTTCTAGCATTGTCCATGCAAGCACTAGATTTTAGAAACCACATCTCTAAACGCTTGCATTACTTGCAATTGCCTGCATTCTAGTGACAAAAATGGAAGAATATTGCTCCAATATTGTATCTTTTTCAGTATTTGTCTTTTCATTTCTCTACCCAATTTAAGGGGCTGATTTTGGCGTGGATTTTGCAAATTCTCCTGTCTGCTTTTGTTGCACGACTTTTGACATAGGAATGTACAGATCAAATTTTTTTTTGACATCAGTTCCAGGCTGTCGTGTGTTTGCAAAGAAAAAGCTAATTCTTTAAGTCAAGGCTGTCAAACTCCCGGCCCACAGGCCGGATGCATCACACACTGACCATGCCCAGTTTAGTGAAGGGAGAAAAGTCCCGATACGTCATGTGATGCTGTGATGTGAGTTTGACACCCCTGCTTTAAGTGAAGTTAAGATCTGGGTAAAGTCTGCAGAGAAATACTATATTAAAAGATTTTAAAAAGTTATAAAGCATGGCAGAAATGTATTATGTGACTTCAAAATATATTCAATGTCTGTGGTAATTAATGACATAAAAAGTTTATAAATTAAAGATTGAGAATCTTAAATAACGTGTAAAAGAAATATACTTAAGTCTGGTTTATTTAACTTCTAGAGATTTTGTTCCAGGAGATATATGGCCATTATTTTACCATATAGATATCATATTTCAATACAGCACTTTACAGAAAATTTATATTTTGATTACAATGAAAAGCTGATCCAAAAATATTTTCTCTTCGGTTTTAGTAGAATGAAACTAAAATTAAAACCATTAAATCCAGTTTTCTTATTCCCTTTGTATGTATGGAATAACTCTGTCATAGATAGTTTAACTGGCTGCTAAAAAGAGTTCCAAAATTTATTAAATTGATAATGCTTAGCAAAGTATAAAAGCCATAACAAAATACCCTCCTTGTAAAGACTTGTTTACAAATGTTTATTAATTTTTATTTGTTTCAGCTTGATTCTAATGTAATTTTCAGTTCTCTTTTTGAATGCACTCTATAATTTTAATATCCGCTCTTCTAATATCTACATTTTATTACTGTTGTTAGAAAAATAGTTTTGAATATCTATAATCCCTTTGAAAGCTTTCAAAATAAAATATTAGAAGAGACACTCAGAAACGGTGCTTACCTGAAGCAACCATGCGATGATCTTCATTGCCCTTTGGCTTGCCAGTAGTTCGGATAGCAAAGATCCGCCCATCACTAGTCCGGATGTACGTTCCTGGGGGAGAGATGGATCATAATAATTAATTGGGCAGGTATCAATAGAGCATTTTACAGATATAATAAGACAGCTACTATAGTTCACAACAACAGCAATAGCAATAGCAATAGCAGTAGACTTATATACCGCTTCATAGGCCTTTCAGGCCTCTCTAAGCGGTTTACAGAGAGTCAGCATATTGCCCCCAACAATCTGGGTCCTCATTTTACCCACCTCGGAAGGATGGAAGGCTGAGTCAACCCTGAGCCGGTGAGATTTGAACCGCTGACCTGCTGATCTAGCAGTAGCCTGCAGTGCTGCATTTAACCACTGCGCCACCTTGGCTCTTAGGCTTCTAGGATTCTCTGAAACAATTTTCTTGACATTGACATTGTTCTGTCTACTGGCTAGATGGACATGCCTTCAGCAACTCATCATGTTATTTTCTAGGAATGCCTCTGGAGTCTATACCAGTGGTGGTTCGGACCGGATCGCCCAAACCGGTAGCAGAAAACATCAGTGGTCCCACTCACTCGCCCCGGCTTTATGGCATCCCATTTAGGCCTCTTTTTTTCAGCCAAAAGCGCATGCGTGGAAGGCTGTACACATGCACGCGCTCACATTTGCAAACCCTTAGGGAAGGTAAACGAACCCCACCCTTGGTCTCTACAGACTAGGGACATTATTGGAAGTATTAATTATGGTTGTGACTTGTGCTCTGCATTGTAACATGCTAGTTCCCGGTTACATTTACTTATTCAAAGAATATGTAAGAAGAACTTAATTAATTGGGATGCAGAATCTAGCAGCAACCAAGAAAGGTTGTAGCAATTATACAGGGACCTATAAGCAAATGGCATAAATTCCAGGTGGTTGACTCATGATGTTTGGCTGGGTTCCACAGTTCAACATGGGCTATTTTCAAGGCAGATACATCTCTGAATGTCTCTCTGAATCTTTTCCAGTGAAGGCAGCACAATAGAAGGGCTGCCATTGTTGAAGCCATAGAGGAATTTGGTAAGGAAATATCTCTGAAATGATAACCCAGCTGGTCATGGGTTGTCTAATACCCCCAGGTTATTGGTTTTCCAACTGCATTTTGTATGGAGTTATAAAATACAAATTTGTATTCGATACAAATTCATTCACTAATAGCTCTGGTGTACAAAATACAGGTAGACCTCATTTGTTTAGCAACCAAAGTTATGGTGGTGTGGAAAACATGACTTTACAAGTAGACCTTGCATTGATGATGATCGCAGCATGTGACTGCCCTTTGCACACTTCACCACCAGTTTCCAATAAACAGAGTTAAAGGAGAACCTGACAGTAAAATCACAAGCCACGGTCATGTGATGTCTTGCTTAACCTGTGATAACTTGGTTAATAACTGAGTGAAAAGTGACCTAAGTCTATTGTGGTCATGTAATATTTCACTTAGCAATTGCATCACTTAGTGACAGAGTGACAGACTGCTGTGGTCGTTAAGTGAGGGCTGCCTGTAAGAGGTGAAAGAAAGGTTCTTTATAGCAGCAAAATAACTAGGCCTTATGAACAAGTTACAATCAACTCTCCTTCTGTCTCTTGTGACTATTTTTTCAAATACTATATTTTTGAAAGACCAATGATATTTAAACAAAAGGGGATTTTAAAAAGCAGCTGGCACAATAAGCAGCATCCAATATTTGGCTAAGATAGTACTGAGAGGATGAAAGCAGACTACTAAAATAAAGATTTCTGCCAAAAAATGAAATGTAATTTGTTACTTGCAAATCACACAACAACAATGTGCAGAAATCCTTACTTGGAAAGGACAAAATCTCCTTCAACTATCCTGAGAAACTTAATTCTATCTTCAAAATATCTTTATAAAAGCATGAGATGGCTAACATTACAATCTCTACTGTAATCTCAAACTACTATCACAATGTCTATATTAAAACTAGTCAATAACGAACAAATGCATGATCAAAAACTAATAATGAATGTTGTCCATCTGAACTAAGGAAATAAATCAATTGAAATATGTTAATTTGTGGAAGGAAACCACGTGGAACTTCTTTATTGTATGGAGATTTTTTTTCTCAATGGCATTTTACTTTCTGAACAAGATATGATAGAATAGAGAAGAAATAGAGAAGAAAAAGAAAAAAAATAAAGTCCACCCTCATCCCACTTTACAAGCTAAAATCTGTAATGGAAAACTATCAATTACCTTTAGTCCCACGGATAATATGTATGCTTTCACCAGCGCTGATTCTTGCCTGCACATCTGTGGAAGTATTCGTACCTGGAATCACTATATCTATAATGTATAAAATAATATAATATAAATATTATAATAAAAATAAAATATATAGGTATATGAATCACTGCATGAGGCTTCAAAGTGGATTCAATTAAAAACATTAAATAAAATAACATCTTCCAAGTATTTAGTTACCTTTAGCTGGGTATTATATAAAACACAGAACCAGTACAGGGAAGTAGGAGAGAAAAAGCTAGTTTAAAAATGATATTAATAGATAATGCTCTATATTTAACTGTTAGTTCAAGAAAATGACGAGTTAACAAAGGAGGCTGCAGCAGTGACATTTCAAATAATCTCCTTTCTCTTTTCAAGTACTTTGTGTTTTTGTAAAATGAAAAGAGAAACACATGTACAAAAATGACTAAGCCTCCAACACATTTGGTAGCTGGGTAAAATGCAGAATTTTCATTAGGCACGTTATGTCTGTAGGACCAAATAGTTTTGCAAATGTTTTCTCTTTCATAATGGAAGAATATTCTCTAATTCCCCTACAGAAAATATAGGGAAGATAAACATGTAGAATGAATTAAAGTAATGTCAATTAAGTCTCATTTTAGACCTATGTTAAAACTGGGTCCTGAGCTTTAGAAATGTGTGGCTGTCCTATCTAAAACATAGCAATGAAGGGGCAATTTAAGATTCTGTTACAGAGAATTAACCTCAATATCTTCTTGATCCCCCCCCCCCCTATTCATTTTTGGTAAATCTCATTTCCTAAGAAAAGTAGAGTACAGTGTAATTGCCAAAGTCACTGACCTGTTGTGGTGACAATCTTCTGCACGAGAACACCAGCTCGTTGCAGGTAATTGATGGGGAAGTTAATAGCAGGATTGGAAACTGAAGCTGCTCCCATACTGCCTAAGGGGACATGACGAGGCATCATTGGAATAGGGGTGGACTGAACAGGACGTACGCTTGCCACTGGCCGGTCCTCACCTTTCAGGCTTGGCCGCCTACAAAGCAAGGAATAAATCAACGGGATTACAGAATTCGAAAGAACCCAACAGCCTCTTTTCACAAGCAGGACCTTCTACTCAGTTGCCCTGTTTCTGCCTTAATAACTCTTCCTGGATCTTCCACAAGATGTGGATAAGTACACTACAAAGGGATGACTATGAGCTGCCAATCACACATTAATTTCTCTACATGCAATCACCTAAGAAAGATCTTTAATAAGTGATATATTAAACAGAAATACTTTCACGTTTTCCCACATTGTGTCAAGAAATCAACAGTAATGAATTTAAAAAGCATGCCTAATATCCCAGATGGGAAGTGTATATTACAAGGCCTGTGTGCTATGACCTCTATGTGCTAATGATACTTTCAATATTGGTTTCCCCATCACAATAAGATTCTGTTCAATGCACTCTAAGTATCGACTCATTGTCTATATCAGCTTCAACTGTTCAAAGCTACTAAGATGACAATGTCCTCCTTTGTTTTACCTATGTTCTGGAGACCAGGAAAACACTGCCAAGGGGGGAGAAGTAGGAAAAACATTTTGCTACTCCTGTTTTAGCTTCATAGAAAGGAACAAGATACCCACCAGTTCCTTTGATTGAAGGCAGGAATATTTGCCAGATTCTGGTCAGTGGCTGGGTAATACTGAGCATAGGAAGGACGGGTATAAGGGACAGATGCACGCTTTTCTTCCTCATAGCTCTTTTTTGCAGCTTTTTTCTCTGCCTTGGTGAGCTTGTGCTCTTTACGATCGATTAGCAGGGACTCGTGCTGGAAAGGCTCCTGTGGTAATTAAAGCATAAGGAGGTTGCATCTGAAGCACACTGGTTTATTGAAAGTGTAACAAAACAGTAAGAAGTCAAACAACAATCCCTCCCTCCCCTGAACAATCAAAATAATCTTCCAAATGTTCTAATGAAAGAATTAGGACGATTTTGATATTATCTTATATATTAGCATTTAATCCCCCTTGATAATATTAAGAACAGTTGCTCTTATCTTTCAAAACTCTTAGAAGTACGCATTTAGAGTTATGCCACAAATGTTTAATCTAATGTAGGAATGGGAAGGAACCTTCTCCTGCATCAGTGTATTTTTTATTTATTAAACATACAGATAATTCTTGATTTACGGTAGCAAATGGGATCAAAATTTCCACTGCTAAGTAATGCAATTATAAGGCACATCTGCCTTGCTCAGTGATAGCAATCCCTGTAATTCTAGTTGCAGATGTCAACCAAATCCTATGGTTGTTAGTCAAAGCAACTTGCTGCTGACTTCCCACAACCAATACCAACAGAGAAGCCAGCAGGAAATTGCCAAGTTCCAGCCTGCAGGGACATCCAGAAATGCCAGACCTCCATTCCTAGCCTCAGTGTCTTTGGGGAAAAGCCAGGTCTTCATCTACAGTAGGGATCCCCAAACGCTTCAGCTCATCAACCCGTTCATAAAAGTTTCAGGTTGTTTGACACCCTGCCCCCCACCCAATTATAAGAAAATAATTTCATAAATATTATTTTAACTAACAGTAATATACAAAAACAACAGGAATAGATTGCCCCATTGATCTTTGGTGCACGTGAAGCGAACCGGCAGTAACGCCAGCAGCAACCCATCCTGCCCCTACCACCCCCAATCTACACCATCACCACTTCTCTCCATGCACTTCAGATCTGATCTGGAGACTCCTTCAACTCTTTGGAATGTATGTGGTCATATAATGTGAGATAAAATTAAGGGATTTGTTGCAAAGGGGAAATGATATTTACCAATGAAGTAACACTGCTAAGCAATATATTAACCCTGGGCTTTCCTTGACATAAACAAGCACCTCATTATATCCCATTCCTTGAAGACCTTGGATCTCATCATCATAAGCATTTTATAATAAAACAATAAGGGACAGACATTTGAGTAATTTGAGGAGGAAACTTCTCTTGAATTTAATTTCTTGCAGGAACTATACATTCTTAATATACTTTATTAGATGTAATTTTTACAGCCAACTTATTAAAATAGCATGGATATGGGGATTTTACTTTCTTTCCTAACCTTGGTGATGAGGTGAGGGTACTTGAGACAGGCCAGCTGTAAAACAGATTCCTTGATCTTATTGGGGCTAAATGGAAGCTGGGGAGGCTCAGATTCCTCTTCCACAAAGTGCAGCAAGTTTTCCACCTCCCTCCTGGTAAAGTTCAACACTGGATTCAAATCATCCACAACACGATCTAAAGAAAATATACATTGATCACCAAAGAGGAAGAACTACAGTTCCTGCTTCATCTGCATCTCCAATAATATTCCCTTAACCTGTGATATTAGCAAATTATTGCACCTTTAAAAGGGGTGGGTGGGGTGAAGATGGGGAGAGCTGGAAATCTTATGCCAAACCTAAAAGCAAAGAGAGCTAAATTCAGAGACCAAACGAAATCTGCCTACTGAATGGCATAATCTGCCTAAGGCAAGGCATGATCTACCTGACATCCCTTGCTTGGAGATCTGACGGTCATAAATTTTCTTTTCCAAAGTGTAATCAGAAACTAGCCGGTAGATGTGGCAAGGCTTCTTCTGTCCATAGCGATATACCCGACATACTGCCTGTGCATCATGGCACGGATTCCAAGAAGCATCAAATACTATCACTCTGTTTGCACCAATAAGGTTCACACCTAAACACCCAGCTCTGGAGGGGGAAAAACGAATAGTTATTTGCCTGGGCCTGAAATGTTGCCTAGTATACTGTAAATCAAATATTAACTGGGACTTACTACTTTTGTTCAAAGCTTTATCTAAATTAATTTGATGTTAGGATTGGAAGATAACAGATATATTGGGGGGGGGGGAACTAACTAAATCCATATGGAATTCTAAACATTACTTAAATGAAGTAGATTCCATTCTCTTTCAGGATGAACACTATCTACTATTCTTCATAGTCAATCACATGTCTCTATCCTTAATAAGTCCTGGAACTTACCTTGTTGAAAGAAGGAAGAGACAAACAGAAGTGTTGCTAGGATCATTGAATTGGTTAATCAATCGTTCTCTCTCTGAGGCAGAGGTACTTCCATCCAGTCCTATGTGAGAAGAATTAGATTATTACAAGCATTTCTGGATAACTTCTATTAGAATAAAACTATGTGGGTTACAAAAAGTATGATTGTTTGAGAGAACTGATGCGATACACGAATAGGGAAAAATACATTTAAAGCTACTTGTAACCAAAACATTATTGAAAAATCTTTCAACCAATCATATAAATAAGAAGTCCACATGCTTCTACCATGAAAAAAAAATCAAGAAAAGTAGTATTTTTCAATGCAGGAGGCAAAAATCAGAAGGCCTCTGGCAGCAGTTTCTAAAAATAAAAATATTAAAAGGGATGGGTTTTCAGAAGCTTAGTCAGGTGCACAGAGTATGTTATTCCATGCATCTGGTGAAATGAGCTGTCTTTCACACAAGCCTTTTCATTATATTTGTTAGATTGAAAAGGTGCTACCAGATTTTTTTGATATTTTTTAAGATCTTCCCAATCTCTAGAGATTGAAGAACTGTACTTACTATAATAATTCACATTTCGGATCCAATTATGGGTTCCTTGTGCATCCAAGCCTGGGGGAGAAGGCACTGGTCTTTTTGCCAAGAAATCTTCAATGACACACAATGTGGAAAGGCTTTGGCTATAAAAAGACAAGAGTTTCTTTCAGACTGACAAAAACACATAAATGCTTAACAGTACATCTTAAGTGGTAAAAGTCTAAACTCTGTCCACACTGTCAGCCAATTTTACACATGATGATTCCATGTAAGTTAACCCATCCTCACTGTCATATGCATGGCCCAATGGAAGAATAGGAATAAGGCAACTATTTCAAATTGAAAGAAGAGGGTCAAGTTAATTGTTAATATATAGATGGCATGCAGAATAATTTCCATATTATCAACTGAAGTAACCCAACCATGGAGATATACTGAGAGATATAAAACTCTAGCAGATTCTTTCCATTTTTTTCTAGTTCTTTTTCTAAATTGTTAATAGTTCTAAACTTCTCCCGCAAAAAAGTAGGCTCAGATTGTTCTATACTACATATTTTTGCTTATATCGTAAAAAGTGGTCTACAATAAAATCAACAGTATGCTAGCCAACAGAAAGATAAAACATATGTTTAATTCAAAATTCTAGTTGACTGGCTTTGCTAACTTACAGAATATCATCATTTTACGAAAAGTGAAGTAACCATGAAACCATGTTGAAAAATGCCTCAAAATCAAATGCAACCATAGCAAATCTTTTAAAGGTAGGAATACTAATAGAGTGCTCTTGCTAGGCCTTCTCTAGTTAGGCTGAAGCCACTGTCATTTTTAAGCATCTTTTAAAGGTAATGTTAAAAATGTAGGAACTCAACAAGGGCTTTATTATTAGTTAATCAGCAGAAATATAATGAAAATTATCTTTCTATGAGGTAATGTTTTAATGAATAGTTCAGTTGAAATTAATAATATTTATTTATTCACACTGCTTTACAATATTGTTTAAATGTTTTCCCATAGCCTTTTTACCTGAACACCAGTAGTTTATCTCCAAGTTTCACACTTTCTTCTACTAAATGAAACAACAGCACCATCTTAGGTGAATTTTGTAAGACTCCTGTCTGATAATCACAAAGGATATCTTTAGCCTGTAGGTAAAACAGAACATCTCTCAGTGACACTTGCTATACCACAATTCAATTTATAACTCTGGATTTCCCTAATATCTTGTGTCTCCTTACAAACATAATCAGAAAAAATCCATTCATAAGCAATATAATGCTAAGTCCTTCCAAAAAATAGCAAAACATGTTTTCTCATAAAACATGTTCCTTGACAATTTCTTTATTAATCCACCTAAATACCATAATTACACGAGGATTTGATTTTAAAAACCCTAAACCTTCTCATATACTGATGAAAACTAATCAAGGAGAGAACCAACTTAGAAATAGGGAGAAATTTCCTGACAGTTAGAATCAGTGGAACGGCTTGCCTCCAGAAGTTGTGGGTGTTCCATCACTGGAGGTTTTTAAGAAGAAAGTAGGCAATCAAATGATATGGGATCTCCTACTTCAGCAGGGATTGGACAGGGGATTGGACTAGAAGACCTTGAAGGCCCCTTCCAACTCTTATTCTGTTATACTACTTCTAAACTACAATTATATAAATAAATACAGAAATACTTTTGGACTTGAATGAAAAGCGTTAACCTTTTGCAAAAAACAAGGACTTGCATTGCAGTATAGAAAACTTATTCTTTAAACAAGTATAATGGTTTTGACTCCGTTAGTTAATTGGGTTCTCTTTATCCAGTTTTAGGACTTGTAAGGAGAACAGATCACCTTTTAGGTCATATGCAAAAATATTGACAATGCAAAGGGCTTTGTAAAGTTTTCAGCATTATAGAACTTCAATGTACAATACAATACAATACAATACAATACAATACAATACAATACAATACAATACAATACAACAGCAGAGTTGGAAGGGACGTTGGAGGTCTTCTAGTCCAACCCCCTGCCTAGGCAGGAAACCCTATACTGTTCCAGACAAATGGCTATCCACCATCTTCTTCTTCTTAAAGACTTCCAGTGCTGGGGCATTCACAACTTCTGGAGGCAAGCTGTTCCACTGATTAATTGTTCTAACTGTCATGAAATTTCTCCTCAGTTCTAAGTTGCTTCTCTCCTTGGTTAGTTTCCACCCAATGTTCTTAGCTTCCTTCACTATACCTAAGCTGCTGGAATATCTTCTCTATATTCTTCCCATATTCTCATTCTAGTTAGATAATCCTACAAGCAAATCAATTAACAGTTACCTTCTATAAAAGCACAGATAAAAAAATCTCCAGATAATACAAGAATGATCAGAGAATTGCTATAGAATAATAATAACAATAAATGGTGCGATCCCATTTGAAGCTGCAATGAGTAAGATAGGAAGGCAAGGTTTTTCACAAAAATGAAAAGAGGAGCCAAAGGTAAGAAAAATACTACACAGAACTATTTCATAAATAACAATAACCTTTAAAATATTCTTTATGGGAAATGAATCCATACATAGCATGAATGTCATACATTTGTGTACAGGGAGACGTAAGATACTGCTTCAAACATCCACCATGTTCAAGAGAAAAGGAGAAAGAAGTTAAAAAAAAAACTAAGAGTTTTGATTTTGGTACTCACCCATTCATACGTTACAACCTGATTGGCTCTTTCCTGAAATGGACTGAAGCCAATGCCCTGAATATACTTGCTATTGGTAGCCTCCCCAATTGTAGATGGCAGAGCATTGCTCTCTGTTTTCATTTTTATGCCCTGTGACTGGCAGCGTGAATTGGTACCAGCTGTGCCAAGGTCATCTACATCCAGATCTTGCTCGTTTGCCAAATTTTCTTTTTGCAATGCTTCATATAGAACATCAGGGTGATTCCATATCTGAAAGGATGGAAAATTACTTGACTGTTATTAACAAATACTTAGATTATTTTTTTTATTAATTCTAAGTTTTTTCATTCATGAGACTGATGATTATTTTCTTTACCTACAGTTATGGTTGTTTCACTGAAGGGGGTGAGGGTGAGCAGCAGTAATTTTACGAAATTCCAGAGGCCAAATTAGTCTCTTGCAGCAAAAGCAACAAAGAGGTTTTGTGGCCAATCTTTCAAATAAACATATAAGGTTGGGGAAGTAAGGAAAGTCTACAAGTTGGAAAAGTTTAATTTGCAAAATTATGATTAAAAATACAGATAGATTTTTAATGTCATTAATATTGCTGTGTCCAGGTAGTCAAAGCACTCTAAATCAAAATACTCCAAGCCAAATTACAATCTAAAACTTTGTATCACTTGTAACCGGTATTCAGAGAATGTTTAGGGAGCCTTAAAAGATGGTTGTGTTCTGTAAAGGTAAATGTTCCCCTTGCATATATGTGCTAGTTGTTCCTGACTCTAGGGGGCGGGGCTCATCTCCATTTCAAAGCCGAAGAGCCAGCGCTGTCCGAACACATCTCCGTGGTCATGTAGCCGGCATGCCTAAATGCCAAAAGTGCATGGAACGCTGTTACCTTCCCATCAAAGGTGGTTCCTATTTTTCTACTTGCATTTTTACATACTTTCAAAATGCAAGGTTGGCAGAAGCTGGGACAAGTAACGGGAGCCCATTCCGTTACGCAGCGCTAGGAATTCGAACCGCTGAACTGCTGACCTTCTGATCAACAAGTTCAGCGTTTTAGTCACTGAGCTACTGCATCCCTCTTGTGTTCTGTATTATCATCATATTGTTAGAAAAAAAATAAACATTCAAGATGCAAAATGAAAAGAAAGTGATGTCTAAATAATACTAATATCATCCTAACAATTATATTTTCATAAACCCCTACACAAAATACTGCTCCCTTTTTATTAAAAACACACCTTACAACAAACACAGAAAGCTTTAAGTGGGTTCAGTCCCAGCCAGCCGCTATTGCCTGCATCACGAAACCTATTCATGAACTCAGTATAAAGAGCCCGCTGGATTTTTGACAAGCGCACTAAGATAACGTGTTCTTCCTTATAGGGAAGCTGAACTTTCAGCACATTGTGCCCTCGTCTACAGAAAAAAAGAGAGAAAAGAACATTAGGAAAGAAATTCCTCAAAGTCTGCTCTCCATCCCTCTATTAGTAATGGAAAGGAGGAAGTACAAGACACCTTAGTTTAGGTATCATTATTAATAGCGTAAAATAACAAGTGTGATCAGCACTTTGTATGTGGAGAATAATTTTCCACAGCAGATTGTTGAGCAATCTTAAGTGTTAGTCTGTAACCAAGTGAAATTTGGTTACAAATTTGGTGACATTCACAACTGAATATTTCCTTCCACATATTATACTTTGTGATGAAATTACATTTAATTTACATATTTCAAGCATTTACACTATCAAGTTCTTGTAAGTCATTTTCATATCCTCAAATGAAAAATTCTACCAAAGCAGCCTATTATTATGAAACTAGATTTAATGGCACATGTGCTAAAATAGGACTGCTAATGATGATCTAAAATCTAAACCATCAACCTGATGAACCAAACGCTTCCCACCATCTCATTATTTAACTACTTCTTACAAAGACTGAAGAACTGGGAATGTGGCGAATGGCCTCACCTTTGTACAAAGCCTTCCAATAAGCTGTGGAGGACATGACTGCGATACCTCATTAGACGAACATCTTGGGGGGTGCTGTCAATACACTGTCCATTCAAGATAGGGCGCTCAAACATATTACTGAATTCCTGCCGGGTACCAAGAAAGTCGGGACGTACAAAGTCTACCATACACCAATATTCAATTAGATTGTTCTGCAGAGGATAGCCAGTCAGAACTACCCTTCGCCGAGATCTGATGTTTTTCAAAGCCTGAGAGGTGCTTGCATGACAATTCTTTATCCGGTGTCCCTCATCACAAATGACCACATCCGGTCCAGGCCGGGATAAAGCTTTCTCAATTCCTGAAAGGAAAAGAAAATGTCTCCAAAGGAATCTATCATCTGCCCTAGCCTCAATTGAAGTTGCATAATTATTAAGAATTGTGCTAAATCCAGTAAGGAGTTTGGAGAAAGGAAAATGAGCTGCACAGAAATTATTACTGGATATCAGAAATCTCTGCTTCAGTTTTCAAGGCAACATTGATAAGAGAAAGACACTGATTATTTCCCTGTCTTAGGCCACGTAAGTATCATTTACAATTCTCAATGATATCCTTCACTGCATTCAATGGCAAGTGAAACTAGAAAACGTGTTCGTAATGAAAGTTTATTTTTTAAAAAAAGCAGAAAACCAGTGAAAAACAGTGAGAACTGGGACAATGTTAACATCTTTCCACAAAAAGTTGCACTACAGTAATGAAACATCCAGCAAAACAATTATATACATATCAGAGAAACTCTGCTTCCAAACATTTTATGTTAATAAAGGAATTACAAATTAATTAAAGAATTCATACAAACTAGAAAATCATTTTTCTGATGAAACATGGAAATATATTCCTGAGTGCCTGAGTTTCCAAACTTGGCAACTTTAAGACTTGTGGATTTCAACTCTCAGAATTCCCTAGCCAGTCATGCTGGTGGGGAAATTCTAGGAGTTGAAGTCCACAAGGTCTTAAAGTTGCCATCTTTGGAGACCCCTACCTTAATGGATTCCTGATTTCAGAATATCTGCCTGTTCATGTGCAAATGCTAGTAAAAACAATTGTCTAAGGATTATATCATTTAAATGGAAATGAAAGATATACGTAAAAGGAGGTTTGTGGGTGCTCACCTTTTAAGAGCTCCTGCTGACGATCTTCTTCATCCACATCAATAATGACAGGGCCAGTTTGCTTTTTGCTTTTCTTCTTTCTGCCTGTAGCAAAGGATTTCTTCAATGAAAGTAGGCGGTACATCTCATAGCCCATCAACAGTACACCACCATCTGTCACCCACTCAGTTACCACTTTGGCACGTGCTGCAGTGGTCCTGGAAAAGACAGTAGACAAAATACAAACGGGACAATATCTATTGGTGAAAAAGGAGAATTTCACTCTGTGTGTGTGTTATGTATATTCAAAGTCTATTTGGAAGTCAAGCTGGTTCAAAATACAATGGATAGGAAAAACCTTGCTATTAACCATGGCTGTCACTAATCTTAGACTCTCAGTGAGCCTAAAGTATTTGAATTCAAACAATGTCCTTGGCTTCCGCTCACATTTTAAATACAATACTGTGCTCATTCCCGCCCCCCTGTGAGCATAATATTCTTCCTATATGCTTAATACGTCTGGAAAAGTTATTTTCTTTTTTATATTTTGTAAGAAAATAAAAGAGGACAGTATTGTAAGATTCGGAATGTGAGCAAGCTGAGATGGCAATTTAATAGATGGTATCCTAGTTATTTTGGCAGCGATCCTTATTGTAACACTGAAATTAATCAGGTGTTGTCATAAAGAGATCTGTACAAATTGCCAAGAGAACTTTCCAAGATCCATAAACAGGGCACAAATTCTTCAACAGCAGCAATTATAAATAACAACTCCAAAATAGAATCCATTCCCCTTACTTGTGTTCATCATTCAAAATGTGGACTTTAAAAGTGCGAGGCTGAATCTCTTTTGGGTCATAGTCAGCAGGAAGAGCTTCTGGTGCTGGAAGCCACATGTTGAACTCTGCTAACCAGTTCTGAAGGGTATTTACCTGTCAGAAAAATGGCAAGAAAGAAGAAATGGGATCCATTAATTATATATTTCATTCTACCAATATCTTAAACACTGAAAACAATTATACAAATATTTCATGGATATTTAAAATGTAGAGAGGCAAATATAGAAATTGGGGGAAATCAAAACTTGCTAAGTGTTTGAAAGGACCTTTATCCACCTAAACAGACTTAACTAAACATTTTTGTACAGCCTACTTACAGGTACAATTGCCAGGACAGTCTTTGCTTCAATATGACGGAAAAGTACTTCCAAAAAGGAGATGACTTGCAGAGTCTTGCCCAGCCCCATGCTATGAGCTAAGATGCAGCCAAACCCACTGCTGGTTTTAAATCTTTCCAGGGATTCCACCAAATTATCATACAGGAAACGAATACCACCAATCTAGAAAGAGTAACAAATGGTGTCAAAGAGATTATGGTTGGTTACTATCAAATTAGTGGTTAAGCATTCTAATTTTTAAATGCATACACACATACGCAGGCAAAAAAAACCACCCCCACCGAAGCTTACAGAAATCAATGACATGTTACAGTAGAAGACAATTTGGTGACAATTATGTACATTTCTGCAGCAGACATTTCAATACCTGGTGAGGCTTTACTGCTCGTGCAAGTTGAGGAGCCAGATATAGATCTTCCTCATTTGGTGGATGGTTGATGTTAATAATTACTTGCCCTGAAGCATCTAACTGATTTAGAGCATCATTCACATGGGCACCACTGCTCTCTTCAGTATTATCATCATCGCCTTCGTTGCCAGAATCACTGCTGTCTACAATATGGAGGGCTTCATCATCTCCTGAACTTAATTCTATCACTTCTGCAACACAACCAGATGTAGAGGATTAGCATATCCATTATATTTTATAGCTAAATATGTAAGGTGACTTATGCCCCTCTGTCTTCATATTTTATACTCTAGAAAAAACTGGAAAAAGTAAATAATAAAAATAAAAATGAAGTATGAAAGTATTATTGGCTGATTCTGATTAGTACTGAGATACTGAACACTTTGTAATTATTTAATATAGCATAATTATGCCGAGTTAATTTCTTAAAATTTTATATGTTCGTAAAAATATTTTTCAAATTGGGAATGTTAGAGGGAATTACTGATTATTAGAATTCTTGACAAATAACATTTATTTGGTTTTTTTTTAAATCCTACTGACTGCAAGATATAAAGATATCGGAAGCCATAATGCAGAAATAAATGTTTCCATATGTTCTTACCATCTTTAATGCTGTGGAGTCTTCCTTTGGAGTCGTCCTCACTACCACTGCTGGTGCTGTCTAAGCAGATGACCTCTTCATTTAACACTTGGGGGGGAAGCTGAGCAACTTCTGCAGTTCTTAAAGCAATTTCCTCTAAAACCAAAGCAATAAACTCAGTACATAATGGATGGAAAGAAAAGGAGACTAAAATTGTTCTCACTTCAATTCAATCCTACTATCAATGTTTGACACCACTGAAGTATCCTAGTTGTACCAAATTTGATACAACTGATTATATAAGAAGCTACTCTAACATGCTTCAAGTAATGCTTTGCCTGACGTTAACTAGTACTTCTCTTACATTCTAATTTATTTTGGTAGAGTACACTCATGAGCCTCTATTTCAGACTCCAATGTTAGAAGAACGCATTGTTCAAACTATTATCAGGACATTTAAAATCAGTTTGAAAAATGTCATTATATCTGGAATCAATAGTATAAAACTGAAAATTAATTAAACATGCATATTTCCATTTATATTCAACATTTAAAACATGATAGAAGTGTGGACATACGCCCTTCCTCTACTCCAAACATAGTACAGTGATCTAAACATAGCAAACAACTTTCTTTTGAGTTTGTCTTCAATAATTATTAGTACAAATGACTGCAATTTGACTATATTAGCATGCCCTGAACTTGTTCTATGCTGCAGCGCATCTAAACAAAATCTGAACAAATGAAACAGAATTTGTAAGATTTGTTGTCAGGACTTTTGCAGTTTGAAGATGAGCAGCAAGTTTGGCTATTTTTTTTTTTTCAAATTGCAGAGACTCATTCTTCATTTGCTAGCATGAAAAGTAAACTCTTTCCATGGAGCATTTTGAATGTCATCCAGATTACACAGAACAGGTGCAAACAAAATCTGTTTGCTCATTAGTCCTGCTGCATTGCTGCTCAGCATTGAGAAGACCACCCACCCACTTCCTTGCTCCAAATATGAGAGAGGATAAGGAAGCAGAACAGAAGACTGTCCATACTGTAATTCTAAAACTACCACGGAAAGGAGTCAGAAGATGAATAGATAGGTCAAATCAGTTACGGTGTAATGCCTCCTAAGGCCAGTTTGAAATTATGGATATTGGAAAACATCCGAAGCTTTACTACAAGCATTTGCATATATGGCTCTATTTTATGTGCTCTAAATCTATTACAGGTAATGCTATTTCACTGGGTTGACATACAGATAATCCTTGCTTAATGACTGCCCTGTTTAGGGACTGTCCGAAGTTATGATGGCGCTGAAAAAAAATGTAACTTTGCGACTGATTTTTGCACTTATGACTGTTGCAGCATCCCACGAACATGTGATTGCCAGATGTACATTTTACTACCGGCTTCTGACAAGCGTATTCAGTGTAGAAGCTGGCAGTAAAGTTGCAAATCATGATCATGTGATGTCTTGCTTAACTGCCATGGGTGATTCACTTAAGGAGCACACTGCTTAGTGACAGAGTTGCCAGCCCCAATTGTGATCATTAAGCAAGAACTACCTGTATATTTTTAGCCTCTTCACAAAGTTTAGAGAGATTTTAAAATGTTGGAGTCCAGTATTTAAGAGGAATTAATAAAAGAATAGCTCGCTTAACATAGAGAAGATACCAGGTCTTCATTCCTCCCTATTCTCCTCAGTAAGGGATAAAAAGGAATGGGACACTTTTGAATTCATGAAATCTGGAACAATTACTAATGGGCTTTAAGATACTGTACATTTTCTATAAATATAAGTAACAACTTTGATCAAAATGCAGCTGAGACAACAAATAAATACAAGAAAAATTGTTTAAGCTATGAATTCATTGATTATATTTGTATGTTATTGTTATATTTATATGTTTTTAGAAATATCATTTTTCAACATAGTATATATATATATATGGCTTGATCCTGAGGAATATCAGAGGTTAAAAAACTGTTCTTAATGGATTGGCTGTGAAATTGTGATTGAGAAGAACAAGGAAAATATTAAAGGTAAATGCTGTTGTTAGGCCTGCTCTATTAAAAATGACTAATTTTTACAATATTTTCATAATTCTTTTAAAGAAGTATTATCTCTATCACTTCCCTGAATGGCATATTAACAGAGAAATCAGTTTCTACTATTAATATGATACATAATTCAGATATCAAAAGGAAAATATTAGAGAAAAATAGACACGTAGCGATTCACAAAGGTACTTATGAGTTACTTATGACAGTACTTATACTGTCCTTTTTTTTTTTTGCCCGGGGGGGGGGGTGTCAAGCAGGGCATGAATGTAAGAATAAAATAAACACTATGGAACAAAGTTAGTATGCTGACAGGATTAAGCATTATTATTTGTTACATCATGCTTCAGTTCAGCTTTTGGTTCAATACTTTGTGTAAAGTTCACCTGGGAGAAACTCTAAAGGTACAGTGGGGATGCTGGCTTGGTAATCCTTCCTTTGCTGCTCCAGCCGTTTTCTTCTTTCCAGTTCCTCCTGTTGTGCTGCTTTTGTCACAGCCTCCAACTGGTCTTCCCGCAGCAGTTTTCTGAATGCAGAAATTCAGAAAAAAAATTGATTATTTCCAAGAAATATATCAATGCAGTTTCAATTTGGTCATGTCAAAGGCAAATAAAACCTGACTTGCTCTTTGTTGAGCAAAGAAAAGGACAAGAGTCAGCAAAACTAGCTATTTTTTACTTGTAGGTGGAAGGCAAGTGCCACTCTATGAACTGGGGAGGTGGTGGTAATATTAGTTTTTAGCCTAGTGTATAAGAGTAAAATGAAACTAAGGAAGTTGCCAGTAAATAAGTACCTACATTGTTCTGTACCATTAAGGACAGGTGAGAGTTTAAGGCAACAATAGAACAGAATGTATGTGTAAAAAGGACATGTCACCTTGTCTGGTAACTAAATGTCAGCAAGCAAACAACCAACCAAGCAAGCTCAGAGAGCATCAAGGCTTCCACAGTTTAAGGCAAAGCAAGTTAGAAGATAATGGACAATTGCTTTATATATCAGTTGCATTCCAGTTACAAAGAAGTGGAACACAACACATGCTTAAAAACAGAGCAATAAAAAAGCATATAATGGAGGCAAGCATGGAATTGAGTAAGAAGACCCTTGATGCTGCTGTTTAAGGGCTGATACATGATGTTAAGAGGGAAGTTAATTATTACTTGATCCCAACTGTCTGGGCAATTTCCATCCAGTTTCCCATCATTCCTTCTTAGGGAAGAGGATAGAGAACATGGTTGTTTGGCAGGTTCAGAAGGTCCTGGATGATATGGATTATCTGGACCGCTTTCAGTCAGGATTCAGGCCCAGATATGGGATGGAAATGATAACATTTGTTGATGATGAGAGCAGGATGGGGATAATGCAACCATCATTACTCTCCTTGATCCCTCAACAGCCTTTGATACCATCGGCCATGGTACGTTTTTGGGCTGGCTGTGGGGTTAGGGCTGTATAGTGCTATTTTGCATTGTTTTGGCTCCTTTCTCCAAGGCCAGTCCCAACTGGTATTAAAAAGGAGATGTTCAGCCCATGGCCACTCTTCTGTAGTGTGTCACAGGATTCAGTACCCTCTCCACTCTTTTTTAACATTAACATGAAGCCACTGGGTGAAATCATTCACCACCAGGGGTTGAGATTGACCATTGGCTTTGCTTGGAGAGTCCAAGCATGGGATACCCAAGCTAGGAAGTCCCAGGGAGGGCAACATAATCATCCAAGATGCGCAGAGTTGCAACAATCCTCTGCAACACTCTCCTCCCAAAAGATGCCTCTGCTGCAGCATAGGAGTCAATGTGGTAATGCTTAATGAACAGAGTCGGAAACGACCCGTTAGCCGCTCTGCAGATCTCTTCCACAAGAGCTTGTGTCACCCCCGCAGCCATGGTGGCCGCACTCCGTGTGGAATGAGCCATGAGTCTAGGGTGATATCATCTTGCCCTGGTGCTGGTAAGCCAGTTTGATACAAGCCCTCAACCACCGAACGATGATGGACAGTGAGACCTTGCGTCCCATGGAACCTGGTTGAAAAGAGATGAGAAGGGATTCGGAATGGCGGAATTCCTCTGTCCTCTTGATGTAGCAGCGAACTGTTCTCCAAATGTCCAGCTTGCGCCAAGCTCGTTCCTTGGGTTGCTGAGGTTGAGGGCAGAGGTTGAGAAGTACCACTTCCTGAAATCTATGGAACAGAAAGTTAATCTTTGGCATAAAAGCCGGATCTAGCTGGAGGGTGACCCGGTCGACGTGAAAAATGCATAAGTCCTCATAGACGGAAAGAGCAGCCAACTCTGACACCCTCCTAGCTGACATAATTGCTATAAGAAAGGCCGTCTTCAGAGTCAGATGATGAAGACCGATGGAACGTATAGGCTCAAATGGTGTCTTGGTCAGGGCCCTCAGAACAAGTGGGAGGGCCAAGGTGGGGAACCTGTGTACCTTGAGAGGGCACAGATTGGAGGCCCCCTTGAGGAAACTTCTCACCTGAGGGTGCTGCCCCAAGGAAACAGCTGAATGTCTAGCTAGAATGGTAGAAACTTGCCGGCGGAGGGTATTAGTGAACAGGCCTTTATCAAACCCTGCCTGCAAGAAGTCCAGCAGCTGTGGGATGGATGCCAAAGTGGGCACTATGTATAGTGTCCTACACCAGGAAGCGAAAGCCACCCAAGTGGTGTCATAGATCCGAGTTGTAGACCGATGTCGGGATGCCTGGATGGTACGAATGACCTTGTCAGATAGATTGTCCTTCCTCAAGAGGTCCCCCTCAAGTGCCAGACGGCCAGCTGGAGCCAGCTGGGATCCGGATGCACTATGGCCCCCTGGCTGAGGGAGAGCAGCTCCTGAGGTATCCTCCATGGTCTGCAAATGGAGAGACTGCCAAAGTCCACGTACCACGATCTCCTGGGCCAGTGAGGTGCTACTAGGAGAATCTCCACTTCCTCTGACAAGATTCTCCGAACTAGCTGTGGGATGAGAGGCAGCGGCGGGAAAGCGTACAAAAGACCCCTGGGCCAGTGGCATCTCAGAGCGTCTATTACCTCCGCTTGCGGGGTGGCATATCTCGAGAAGAACCTCAGGAGTTGCGAGTTGTCTGGAATGGTGAACAGATCGACCACCGATAGGCCGAACTTGACGGTCCGTTGATGGAAGGTTGCCAGATGAAGACGCCACTCTGCATTGTTGATGGTCATCCGGCTCAGCCAGTCCGCTCTCACATTGTCCACTCCTGAGATGTAGTCTGCCCGCAAGGAGGTCAGATGGCGTTCCGCACACCGACCCAGAGCCTCCACTTCCATCATCAGGGCTCTGGACTTGGTGCCCCCTTGGCGGTTGATGTGGGCCTTTGTCACTATATTGTCTGTGATCACCAAGACACGGCAACCCACAATGTCCCTTCGAAAGTGGCATAAGGCCAGCCTCGCTGCCCTTAACTCTAACCAATTTATGTTGTGTGCAGCCTTGTTTGGTGACCACTTGCCTTGTGTCACTTGCTCCTGGAAGTGGGCTCCCCATCCCTGGAGACTTGCATCTGTTGTGACTACCAGACGGTTTGGCTCCTGGAAGAGGCAACCTCTCATCACTGCACTGGATTCCCACCACTGGACTGTCTGACATTTGGAGGCAGTCTGACCCGTCTGGAAGAGTTGCTGGCTTTGACCTGCTGGATAGCCAGGAGAAACCATTGCCGTTCCCTCACATGAAGACGTGCCCAGGGAATGATGTTTATGCATGAAATCATGAGTCCCAAAAGTTGTGATAGGGACACGAGGGACGTCAACTGGTTCACTCTCGCCTCCCGTGCCTGGATGATGAGGTTGCGCCTGCAGTCCGGTGACAGGAACACTTGGCAGCAATCGGAGTCTATGAGTACTCCGAGATGTAAGATGCGGAGCACAGGTGTCAGCTGACTCTTTTCTTGGTTCACCGAAAACCCGTGATTCTGTAAGGTAGAGATGGTGACTCATATGTCTCTGAGCGCTTGGTTGGTGGACGCTGATTGAATCAAAATGTCATCTAGGTAACAAAGAAGACGTATTGGGTGCAACTGCAGATGGGCGGCTACGACCGCCAGTATCTTCATGAAAGTCCTCGGTGCTGATGAAAGTCCGAACGGCAGAAATTTCTACTGGTAATGCTTGCCGTCGTAGTGGAACCTGAGGAACTTCCTGCGGGACCTGCGGATCAGAATATGTAGGTAAGCCTCCTTCAGGTCGATGGAGGCCAACCTGTCCCCTCGCCTGATGCAACCTAGGATGGGCTGTAAGGATTGCATCTTGAAACGCTTGTAGGCCAGATGCCGATTTAGGTTCTTGAGGTCCAAAATGGCCCTGCATCCCCCGGAGCTTTTGGGAACAAGGAAAAGAATGGTGTAGAACCCCCTCTTTTCCTGCTCTATGGGAACTGGTTCTATGGTGTGTATCTGGAGGAGATGCAAGATCTCTGCCTGCATGAGTTGTCTTTTGGGGAGGGAGGTGGGGACTGGGCAGCGGACGAAGGTCCGTGGGGGGAGGGGGAGGAACTCCAAGGTCAGGCCCAGCCTGATCGTATTGAGAACCCAAGCATCCGTTGTGATCAACTCCCATTGGGTGGCGTAAAGTTGGAGACAGCTGCCTATGGGAGATCCCATTGGTGGTCACTTGGACCTACGGTAGGAGCGGTTGTTGGAACTGCCACAAAAGGGGCGTTGGAAGGACTGCTGCTGGTGACCCTTATCCTTGAAAGTTGACCTGTCCTGGCTACGGTCACTGCCCTGGGGAGAGGATCTCTGATAGGAGGGACTCGCACCCAAGGAGTCATGCCCCCGAAAGGACTGATTCCGAAAAAAGGAATTATTCTTCCTATCAGCCTTCCTGGCAGTAGACGGAAGCACCTTCCATTTATCCTTGGTCTCAATTAAGAATTTGTCTAATGTTTCATCAAACAATTGCCCTCCCTTAAAGGGAGCGGAAGCAAGCTTCCACTTCGACTTCACGTCTGCCTGCCAGTGACGAAGCCACAATAGACGTTGTGAGGTCACATTTGAAGCCAGAGCTCGGGAGGCAAATTTGGCAGCATTGAGGGAAGCATTAGCCGAATACTCCACAGCTGCTATAATTTTGTTAAGATCATGCATCCATCTGGAACCCTCTGAGGGGGGATTCGAACTCAACTGCCTCAGCCAAAGCAGTGAGGCTCGAGTAAAGAACGAAGCCAATGTAGAAGTCTTAATGGACCAGGCGGCCGCCTGGTGGGTCTTGTGACATGCTTTCTCAGCTTTTTTGTCCTCAGCCTTGAGCCCTTCAGGGAGGTCAGCCGGCAGGACGGAATTGGAAGTGAGGGGTATCACTGGAGCCTCCACCTGTGGAAGCTTCAAAATATCCTCCAAATTATTCTCCACAGAGTAGAGGTGTTTGTCAGCCCCATTAGGGTTGGTCAGTGATCCTGGCTGCGCCCACTGGGGCTGCACCACATTCACAAACAGCTCAGGCACCAGAACTAAGTCCTGCTCAGGAGCGTTTTCTTTGAATAACCCCTGTTTAGGATCCTGGGTCCCAGAGGTGGCTGGAGCCCCCTGAATGGGAGTAACTTCTTGAGTAGAGGCCTTCGCCTTGTGCAAAATTGCCTTAAAGAGGGAAGGCCTGAATAATCCAGTGAAGGCAGGTTTATCTGGGAGGGGAGTCTCGTCTTCTGGGAGCTCCTGTTCCCCAATGTTATCATCCTCTAATATAGATTCCTCCATGGCAATGGAAGTGCCTGGAGAAGGAGGTCCCTGTGTCTGCCCACTCTGGCCAGGTTTGTGACTAGGCTTGGAGGAACTTTTAGCAGCCTGTTTCTTTCTAGAAATTCCAGAAGCAATGCCCCTCTCAATAGCCTGTTCTCTGCATTTCAAAGGATAGATTTGGACCCTGATCTTCAGCAGGCTGGGGTCTACTTGCCCTTCACCTGTCTGTGCATCCTGAGGGATCAGGATCCTCTTCCACCATGACAGACTCAAAGGGGCAACATTCCTCTTGCACTGAGGAAGAATCCGGATAACACAGAGAGGCTGCAGGAGAGGAAGCATGGGATCCCTCATCTACCAATGAAGGTGATATGGCCCTTGGTGGAGAAGGCTGGGGGAGAGCTCCTGCCCTTGGAGTAAGGGACTTGGATCATGGGAAGGTTCCCCAGAGGATAGGGATAGCCTTCGAGCCCTTTCAAATGTCTTTTCTAGAGCCTTATGTCTGCGGGCCTCAGCTTTGGATAGGGCCTTGCCGCCTCTGGAGTTAGGGATCCCCTTCCCCTTGGTGCCCCTACTGCCCTGTTCCACCACAGAGGGGTCTGGCCTACTGCATTTTGGCGAGGGAGCAGGATATTCCGCTGGCGCCCTCTTGTCCCTGTCAGCTATGGTGTTCTTCAGCTGGATCGAAGACTGACTCTCACAGCCCTTCAGGGAGACTCTGCAGGCAGCATGTTGGCACCGGCGTGAGCTGGAAGCTGCTGTGCGCTGCGCAGATATGTCCGTGGGACAGGAACATGACCAAGCAGCCAAAACTCTCCTAGGCCTCAATAGAAGTGTTCCTGAGGGAGGAGGCCTTGCCGGAGCCCTGAACGAAGGCCAATGACTCCCTCACTGCAATCTGCAGGCTGGGAGGGAAAGCGTGGCAACTCCAAATGGCCAAGTGCGAAAGCACGTGAAAATGCTTTTAAAATGGCCACCACGCTTCTCGGATGTTCAGGGAGCTGCCAGGCATAAACCGGAGCCTCCACTGAGGACTCTGGCAGCCACAGTTAGTTGAGGAGACAACTGGGCAAAAAGGAAGCCTCCTATCTTCCCCCACGCTCGCCAGCAGTTGCTGGACAAATGCCCCGACGATCGCAGGCTCCATAGTGACGAGGAGCCTGGAAACCCTCAAACCTCACCAGCAATTTTAAATGGCTCGAATATTTTTTCCTAGCACTAACTCTCAGTTGAAGACAAAAATAAGAAAGGTGCTAAGCTAACTAATGAAGAGTCCCAGTCTATTTGCACAAGAACTGAGGAGCTCCCCAAAACGTGTCTGAACTGGGCTGGACTGAGTTTTTGAACTGAACCTTGGAGGGGAGGAGGCGTGGTTAAGAATTTCAACTCAGTCCTTAGGCAAATAGGCTGAATTTAACCCATGCTTGAACTCTCCAAGCAGCACACAGGAGAAATACCATATTTTTCACACTATAAGATGCACTGGACCATAAGACGTGCATTAGCTTTAGAGGAGAAAAACAAGGGGGGGGGGGAATCTGGCTTGTCAGGGCTCCACTCTGTTGCGCCCACCACCAGTCAAATGAACTGAATTGTTGCCACCACCGGGGAACACTGGACCCTTTGCTGATGAGCAACTGATTGGCGGTTGGATCGGCCTCCTGGAATAGTGCTGATCAGCTGTTCGAGGGGGTGGGGATCACTGCCGAACTTCCAGTTTGCGTGTTGGGATGTTTTTCTCCCTCGAGAGAGAAATCTGAAAGTCAGAGAAAACGGACCATTTCCAACCTCCAGAGGACCTGCAGGAGAGGCCGTTTTCATCTTTCCAAGGCTCATAGAAAGCCTCTGGAGCCTGGGGAGGGCAAAAAACGGGTCCACCATACCATTTCGCAACAAACACCAGGGGGCACATACGTGGGGGGCACGCGGGCATGCGTGGGAGGAGGGCAGACAAGCGCCCCCACCCCCTCTTGCTTTTGGCACACGATGGCAAAAAGTTAGCCATCACTGACCAATATTATCCATTGTATTACTGGAGTAGAAACAATGGAAACACAGCTGTATGTGCTCCATGGGACCATCTACTTTCACTATTCTGCCACTCAAAGTATTTACCTATTATGGGAACATATGGAAGGCAAATAGAGTAGAATGCTTGCAGGAACTAAATTTGCAGCATTTTGTCATTTGAGACATTACTCTATCCAGGCAAAGGTAGGGTAGCCAAAGCAGCTTATTGGTCAGTGA